ATGCCGCAATCACCTCTCCTCCATTCTCCTCCCCGGATCTTGGGTACGCACACACACCTGCCCGGTGTGGGTCTGGGACTCGAACCACAGTCAGTCATGTGGGAGTCCAGCGATGTAACCACTATGCCATCTACCGGTCCTGGGAGATGGTATTCTTGACTGGAAGCTGTTATTTTTTACCACCTACAGAATGAGACCTCTGGTATAGATCTGCAGAAACACAAGGCCCACTTGCTGCCTTGTTTGTGGTGGAAGACTCATGCCTGTCCCATGGAAAGCGCTAGAAGCTTTCTCAGGGGACCCTGTGTGGACCGACTTGCGGTCAGCACACCTGGCCATGCCTTCTGTCTGATACAGTGACGGGTGACGCTGCCAGGAGGACCCCTCTGGTCAGTCCCTCTCCTGGGCATTTTTGTCCCCCCCAGCCCAGTGTCACTCCAATCGAGGGTCACTTGTGTTTGTTCCCGTACTTTTAATGCTATTTCTACTGCTTATTGTTATTTGTAATTTAAATAACTCTCATGAAATGCAAGTGTGCATAAAAGAGATTTATATGGAAATTAAATTGATTACTTTTTGGATTTTTTTTTTTTGAGAATTTTTTGGCCATAGGGTGCGTGCACCAGCTGGATAGAGACAGAAAGAGGGAGAATGAGAAAACACCCCCCTACCCAGGGAGGAGGGCCATGCCGCAGTCCCTTCTTGAGATTTTGGACGTGCATACACACGTACACAGACACACACACACACACACACACACACACACACACACTCCCGGTGTGACTTTTCAAGCTGCCAGGTCCGGGACTTGAACTGTGGTTGCCTATGTGGGATCCAGCACCTTAACCTCTATGATATGCCTGACTTGAGTACTTTCTTTTCTTTTCTTTTTTCTTTTTTTTTTTTTTTTTGGAGGTTTTTAGGGTGCGTGCGCTCGCCAGACAGACAGAGAGAGAAATAGAGACAGAAAGCAAGAAATCACCCCCCCAGGGGGGATGGTCACGCCACAATCCCTTCTCCTCCATTCTCCTCCCGGGATCTTGGGCACACACGCACACGCGCCCGGCGTGAGTTTAAGCCACCGGGTCCGGGACACGAACCGCGGTCGACTACGTGGGAGTCCAGCGACATAGCCATTACGCTAACTGCTGGTTCCCGAGTACTTTCTTTTCTAAAGAGAGGTTTTTGCTATAGGGCATGTGCATTCGCAGGAGAGACAGAGAGACAGAGACATAGAAAGTGAAAAAATCACCCCCCTCCCCAGGGGGGATGGCAATTCTGCAATCCTCCTCCATTTTCCTCTCGGGACTTTGGGCACACTCACTCACGTCCCTGGCATGAGTTTAAGCTGCCGGATCTAGGCCTCGAACCGCGGTTAACTGCGTGGGAGTCCAGGGAAGTAACCGTTATGCCATTTGCTGGGCCTAGACTTGAGTACTTTCTTAAAGGTACGTGGTTGGGGAATGAAAAGTGTTGTTACGTTAGGCATGTGTGTTGGGGGGACAATTGTAAAAATTCGAGGGGCATTTTTAGAGGTCTAGCATGTTTTGACTGGGGGCACTTCATATTCTCTTTACGTACACAGTCTGACGGAAAGAAACTGATACTGCAAACTTTAAAAGTCTATATAATTTTATCTATTATTATTGTTATTATTATTATTATTTTCAATGTGCTATAGGGCATATACACTCACCAGAGAGAAAGTGAGAAAGTAAACCACTGGGTCTGGGACTCGAACCACAGTCAGCCATGTGGGAGTCCAGCACCTTAACCACCATGTCACCTGCTGGCCCAGATTGCAAACTTTAATGCTCCTTTAAGGGTAGTTTGTTTAAGAAGGAAACCACGAGGACGAGAGTCAGTGGTTGGCTTAGTGGTTGGGGCGCTGGACTCCCATGTGGCTAACCATGGCCCAAGTCCCAGACCCACGGGCTTGGAACATGCCAGGTGAGTGTGCGTGCCCAAAATCCTGCGAGGAGAATGGAGGAGAAGGGATGGGTTCTGTCTGCCTGGTGAGTGCTCACGCCCTATAGCAAAATAGCTCTCAAAAAAATAAATAAATAAATAAATAAAGGAAGGAAGGAAGGAAGGAAAATGTGGAAGTCCAAACAATCAGCCTGTATGGAAAAGTCTTACTTGTAAATCAAAACATTGGCACGTGGGTGTGTTATTCATTTTAAGATCAACGATACTATTTAACGCACTTATATATTGTGTATATAATACACACACTGTATTACATATGCATATATATACTTTTTTTTAGAGAGAGATTTTTGCTATAGGGCACCTGTGCTCGCCAGAGAGACAGAGACAGAGAAGCAGAAAGTGAGAAACCATCCCCCAGGGGGGATGGCCACGCCGCAATCCCTTCTCCTCCATTCTCCTCTCGGGATCTTGGGCATGCACGCACACGCGCCCGGTGTGAGTTTTAAACCGGGGGTCTGGGACTTGAACGGTGGTGGACTACATGGGAATTCAGCGACATAATCACTACTGTCATCTGCTGGTCCCAACATTTATATTACTTTTTAAGACTAGAAACCCCCTCCGTTTCTAGGGCCTGGATGAGAAGTCTCCTATACATGACCATCAATGACGACTCAGTACGTCTCACTTCCTGGGCGCTATTTCCAGCCATGAACGCTGGGACACGGGTGCGGTAGGTACGCGTGACAGCAACAGGGACCCCCTCCCCATCCACCCACACACGCGCGCGCGCACACACACCGGCATCCCTTCCCGGAGCTCTGCTCAGCCGGCCACCCTCCCCTGTTATGACAGCCCATGACGACTCCCCACGGCGGCCAGGGTCCCGGGCTGGGCAAGCGCGCAGCGCCCCCGAAAATCCCGCAGGGGGCGCTGTCCCGGCGCCGCCACAGCGC